TTTTTTTTTTAACTTTATTAATATCGACTGATTCGGCGATACACTTTAAAGTGATGGAGTCATCAAGAATTGAAGAATGTATGTTAATCGTTTATCGAAGAAATCCAGGTCAGTCGAATCACTTGTATTCTAGTTTTTTTCTAGTGCTTTTTTCGACATTCGATTATTTAAAAATATTTTTTTTTGCTGTACATAATATACCGATCCCAGTGCTATTTATTTTTTGTCTGTACACCGCAGAAGAAACTGCACATAAAACATGTATTTAATTTTTGCAATTGAATTCAGTAAGTGATTCAATTTTTTAGAAATATCTCTGAACTGGAGAGAGATAGCGAATTTTTTGTTAATACATTTTTAGTGGCTCTCATGGCGATTTATAAAAAAGGTTATTAGGGAAATGTCAGTATTTCCATTAAATTCAGGGATATTCTTGAAATATTGTACGAGTCGAGTTGTTACCTATTTATTATGGAATGAAGAATTGATTATCGATAATGTCATGATGAATTGATGGAAGAAACACGAGCCGGGAATATAGGGTAAACACCTCATCGCTGGTGTCTCAAGCGATGGGAAAATGCATTCTTAGCACGACATGCGTCAAGCTGTTTCGACACGAGAGGGTAACAAGTGTGTCTTGTTGACGAGTAATTATTTGACTTTGATTTTACTGATTGAACAGTTTTTTTTGCGATTTTATTTCGAGATACCATCGACTCTCATTCGTCGTTTTAAATTGCTAATTAATTGATAACGTACTAGGACGAGATGAAAGATCTTTGCGGAAAATTTTCACTGGAGAGTAACTCGTCATTAAGATGGCGACGATAATTGGCGTTATGAGGACTGAATAATTAATGTTACGTTTCACATCGACGAAATCCATCGAAATAGAATTCCCAACTTTCCATTTCACTTGAGTCATTCCAAAACTTCTTAGTAAGAGAAAAAAAAAAAGGTAAGATCCCCGTAAATTCCTGCGACTCGGCATCGAGAGGTCGTTATCAAGGGAATAAGATTCGAGTTATCGCCGACGTAAGCGTTATGACTGACTAACAAATCGTCTTTGCTGACAAATCGACTAGGTGTTTCCCCTCACTCGTGAAAATGCTATTAAACTTCATTCATCCGTTTCACCGCGGAATCAATGAATTCCAGATATCAATTGAGAATATATATATATATATATTTTTTTTTAATCGGGTAATTGTCGCTCTGGGAGGTGTGCGCAAACACTTTGCAACCAGTCAGCCCCCATATTTGGATTCGAAAAACTGCACCAGACGAATAAATATATCCAAATGGGTCACGCGTGGGTTAAGGATGCAGACATTTTAGTCCAGCGATACTCACACTTCCCAAAAATCCATTCACAAAAAAAAAATTATCGAGAACCTCTCGTCTCACTCGTTATGATTCAACACTGCACAATCTTGTATCTAAATTCTAATTATTACTCCTTTACCCCGGGAATTGCCAATTGGAAAATTTTTTTATTAATCAGTCGTTTGAGTGGGAAAATTTTGGGATTTGGGATTGGGACACTGATAAAGAAATCAGTTGTAATTGACGGGTAATTATTGAACTGGAAAAATTCTAATTTTTATAAATTGTTTTTCACTGCTGAATTCTGGGGAATTTTCAGACCTATCGATTTGAATAATTATAACAATTCAAGAATTAAACAATTCACTTATTAATAGATTAAAAATTCTAGGAATTTATCGCCAAAGTTTTTCGATTTTCATAATTTTCCGGTGCCGCCCGGGCCGACAAATCGATAACTGCAATATCGAACCCGAATCGATATTTGAAAATCCAAAAAGTGAATTGATTCGTCACCGGATAATTTTCTCTCTCTCTCTCAAAAATCAACTGTTTTCACTTGAAATTTAAACCGTAATCACCAACCAGCGTACCCAAATCCCCTCACCCCTCACCTCCCCCAACCATTCGATCATTCGACCGCCGAATTCCCCCGGAATCTCCAAAATCTCCGATATCCCCCCCATAAATCGATCACGAATCGAGACAAGAATGAGTTCATCGACCGTTGCTCCCCAGACGAGATTCATACCTCCTACCACGTTTTTCTCGGCGTCTCGCCAGGACAATTACCCGCCCATTCACCTGGAAAATAGTGTCCCCGGTGGTCCGAGGAAAAGTCCCTCTCCCCCCAAAATATGTCCATCCCCATCGAAAAAGGAGAGAAAAAAAAAAAAAATGCCTGAAAAACATCGGAAAAGCGGTTTGACACGGATAAAATGACCCACCGATAATGACGGATAATGTGGGGGCTTTCCCGGGCTCTTTCCCCTCGCAGAAGACACCTGAGTGCCAATCCCTCCCTCCCAAACCTCCGGGAAAGGAGCCGCCCACCCCCACCCCCCACAGGAATATTCAACAGGTCCTTGTTCCCTGGATTGTCACCAGGCTGAAATCCAAAGTATTTTCTTTTTCCTTTTTTTTTTTTCCCTCCTCTTCTCGACGAATGATATTGGCATCCCCTCCCCACCCCGGGCCCATCCTCATGCGAACCTGTCGACATGCTCTCCGCGGCCACATGCACATTCATCCTCACAAGTCCGCCCCACCCCACGCAGCTTCACGCAGCCCCACGCAGCCCCACTGGCTGATGAGTCACTATATAAGACAGGCAAGGACAAGAAGGTGTATGTTAGTATACACTCAATTCTTCTCGTGGCATGTACGACGGCGCGCTAGGCGGATTCGTCACTTGACTGTGTCATCTGTCAGCCAAAACCGTCGCGTTACACTAAATACCGCTAATATCCATGATTTTTTGACAACACCATTCCAACACCACCAATATCATCAACAGCATCAAATCAATAATCAGGTGTTGCGAATAATTATCAACAATTATCCACAATTATCCACTATTATCCATAATTATCCATAATCCTTGGGGAAAAATTTGCTGATTACTTCATTGGCGCAAGTGAATTGAGGACACTATGTTGGTGGAGATCGTTGTCCAGTGGGTCTGGGGCTTCCTCAGTGGAATGAGAATTGATTTGGTATATAGCATTCTCGTTTTTGTCGGTGCCCTAGTCCTAGTTAGGGCTGGACAGTGGTTCAAGTTTCTCAGGAGTCTTCCACCTGGACCCTGGGGCTTTCCTGTATTCGGCTATTTGCCGTTTATCAAGGGAGATCTTCATCTGCAGTTTGGGGGACTTGCTAAGAAGTATGGGTCTATGTTCAGCGCAAGACTTGGCACTAAACTTGTGGTCGTGCTAAGCGATTACAGGACTATCAGGGATTGCTTTAGGCGGGAAGAGTTCTCCGGGAGACCCCACAGCGAATTCATGAACATCTTGGGAGGATATGGTGAGTTGGATTTATTTTCGATTTTTTTTATCATCACTGATTTATTTAAAAAATTATCGGTGAACGGGAAATGATGGAGGAATTTTTTTTTTGGGTAGAAATGGTTCTCGGATTTTTTCAAATCGAGTGTTTTTTAAAGTAGTCGATTATTGATTTTATCTTTTTTATGGATTATTCACTTATTTTGAAAAATAAGTGAATAATAATAGTTTGAAGTGAAAATGATCGGTTGAACGATTTGTTTAGTAAATTGAATTTTTCATTACGGCCTTCTGACGTTTATTGATAAAATCGATGGTTTGTGGGATATTTGGTAAAATTAAATAATAATTTATTGGGTTTAGGAATAGTTAATGCGGAAGGCGCCATGTGGAAGGAGCAGAGGAAATTCCTTCACGAAAAATTGAGGGGTTTCGGCATGACGTACCTCGGGAATGGGAAAAAAATCATGGAAGCGAGGATTAACGTAAGTGATAAAATAATTGATAGACTGATTGATGAGAGAGCGAGTGATTTTAATAAATAGTAGATAATGAATTTGATTACTTGGACAGCGTGAGGTTGATGTGTTGATTCGCTCGTTATCGCTAAAACGAGGTGCACCAACCGACGTCTCACCATCTCTGGGCATTTCGATAAGCAATGTCATATGCTCCATAATAATGAGCGTGCGATTCCATCACGGTGACACACGATTCCGGAGATTCATGAATCTCGTCGACGAGGGATTCAGACTATTCGGGAGCATACACTTTGTCAATTTTATACCGATCTTGAAGTATCTGCCGAGTTTGAGAAAAACCAGGAACAAGATAGCAGAGAATCGGGCGGAAATGGCGGAATTCTTTCAACAAACCGTCGACGAGCACAAGTCGACGTTCGATGAGAAGAATATCCGGGATCTCGTTGACACGTACTTGTTGGAGATCAAGAGGGCTAAGGCTGAGGGCACGGACGCTGCTCTGTTTCAGGGGAAGAATCACGGTGAGTTGAGATTATCTCAGAAAATATCTCTTTTCGATAAATCTCCGAATAGAGAAGGAATACGAAAAATTTTGCCAAGACCTTTTTTTCGACTCACATTTCACTCCGCAAAAAACATCTCGACAAAATTTCGCTATCTTTATTAGGTTCGACGTTATTCCCAGAAAACTTATCCATGAATTAACTCGGTTTGTTACCTTTCTTCTTTTTTCTTCCTGCGAGACATTGGGTAATATTTCAGAGTCTAAGATAGATAGAGAAATTTTATAGGGACCTTTTCTCTGGCGGTTATTTCGTTCTACAAAAAAGGTCATATGGAAAATTTTGGTATCTCTATTAAATTCAGAGATATTCCTCGAAAAATAGTGGCAAGTCGATTGGTGAATTAAATCAACTGGTTAATTCTCTGTTTCAGATCGCCAAGTGCAGCAGATCCTGGGCGATCTCTTCTCCGCTGGAATGGAGACAGTGAAAACTACCCTGGAATGGGCTGTGATTCAAATGCTTCATCATCCAGAAGCGGCTAAGGCTGTGCAAGAGGAGTTGGATCAGGTGGTGGGAAGATCACGAATGCCAGCTCTCGAGGATCTTCCCTTCCTCCCAGTCACCGAAGCAACTATTCTAGAGGTCTTGAGGCGATCCAGTATTGTCCCACTCGGCACAACACACGCAACTACACGGTAAGTGCAATTTCCTTTTTCATAATTCGTCGTTACGTCCTCGTCCGAAGCTTCCACGCTCGTATCGTAAAATGGGTATAATTGAGAAAAGTAAAAGTGAAAGCAATGGGGGCCCAGTGCGAGACTGGCTTTTTCGGATATACCTTGGTCACATGGCCGAGGTCAACGGCATACTTATGTGTCTCGAGATAATCAGGGGAATCAGAAAATAATCCCAGGTCTTTGGTAAGATTCCAGTAGCCAACGGATAAACGGTAACAACTCGATTAACCCAACTGCTGAATTTTCGGGGAATATCTCCGAGTCTAAGGGACACAGTAAAATCATGTCTGGAGAATTTTTGTAGCTCTCAGTCTATCCTACAAAAGATCTTACCAGCGAAATGTCGCTGTTCCTCCTAGATTCAGAGATATTCTTTGAAAACCTGAGCAGAGAACAGAATTTTAATAAGTTTAGTTGATCCTTCATCGATTAATTGATTTAATGATTTTTAATAGATTGGATTTGTTTTTTTTTTCTCGTTGCAGTGACGTGACGCTGAATGGCTTCAAGATACCAGCAGGTGCACAAGTGGTTCCACTGCTTCACGCGGTTCATATGGATCCGGAATTGTGGGCTGAGCCAGAGGAGTTTAGGCCGACGCGTTTTCTCTCGAGTGAGGGAAAAGTCACGAGGCCAGAGTACTTCATGCCCTTCGGTGTGGGCAGGCGAATGTGTCTGGGGGATGTACTTGCACGAATGGAACTCTTCCTCTTCTTCAGCTCTCTCCTCCACACGTTTCATATGGAACTACCTGATGGTGATTCCCTTCCCAGTCTCAGGGGAAATGCCGGGGTCACTGTTACGCCTGATCCCTTCAGGGTTTGTCTTCAGCAGAGGCACCTTGATATTGATGGCTTTCTACCGGAAATGTCTAGTCCACTCAGAAATTTCGGCTCTCACTGAGCTTTGGATCTTCAGTGGTCTCGGGGAAGATTAACGTGGTGGATCATGTCTACGAGAGCACGGTTTGTTGTTCCTGTTTGCTTGCCCTAGGGACGAGACCTTCTGAGTAAGTGATTCGTTACTGAGGTTTACGGTTCAGATAGGTCGAGGTGTTCCATCGTGATATATATGTCAGACTAGGGCGCTATTCACTAATTTTCACTGGATTTTCGAGAAGGAACTTGAAGGGAGAGTCGATGTGAAATTTCGTGGAGTTTATATTGAAGGGAATTTCAAGTTTCTGCGCAAGATCAAGCCACTTCCGGCAGGAAAAAACATGAAAGAAGTCGAGTTCAGGGAATCTCAATTTTTTTTTGAAAATTCAGTAGACTAGAATGCCCGGAATTTTTTAGGAATTCCCTGAAAATTCAAAGGAATGTGAAATTCAGAAGAAATTATTAGTTTTCAATGGATATCTTGGAATCTATGGCAGGTAGCGAAAATTTTATAATAACATTTTTTGTAGGGGTAAGTAAGGGCCGCGAAAAAGGTTATTACGAATAATTGGCTATCTCCCTTAGATTCGGAAATATTTGGTGAAAAGTCGTGTAGATCGACTTGAATGCGTTGACTACGGAATTTTTGGAATACCGCTGATCAGACATAGTGGAAAATTCTCGCCGGAAATTTCAGTGTTAAATTTCGAAAAGTGTAATATGGTTAGGAGGTAAAATTGTGGCGATTGCGCTGAAAAGAATGGATAAAAGTACAAAGCAAACACCAAAATTTTTAGCAGCACCCCGCTCGCTTTATAGCCCGCCGCCATATTATTTATTTATAATTCCTAAACGGGGAGAATTGTCACTGTAATTTATTCATACATTAGGTTACATCAGTCATTCTCGGTAAACCATGTGTTTGCATTCTTGTATAGTTCTACGAGAGTCGTGACATTTTTTCAAGTGATTGAGTGATTGAGTGGGTGATTGTGCGAGTGATTTTAAAAATAATTGTTGTCGAATAATTGTGAGAGACAACTAGTATAAGACTGACCCGAATTACACGTAAATTGCTCGTAATTGTGCGTTAGGGGTTAAATTTTGTATTTTTTAGATGAGCGACGTGGAATTTCTCACGCACTCGTGGAAAAATGATTTTTGATTTGAAATTATCATTACCTCAGGTTCAACAATCTTTTTAGTTCACTGACCAATTTTATCCCCCTTCTTACGAGGTCGTGGATTACACTCTCGTGAGTCTGTTGTGTTATCTTAGTTCACTATACTCTCGTGGACAAAAGAAAAAAAAGAATCTCGAGAGTTTAATGCAACAGAGACACTGCACACTCAGAAAAAAATTACGCCAACCGAATTTTATTGAGGCAATTCAATAAACAATTTTATTATCTCCATTTAATTTTTTTATGAGTATTAAAGGTAAAAATGGCATTGCTCACACGAAAAAATTTATATTCTGAAAAATAAATGTGAAAAATATTTTCAACTGGCACAACTTAAATATTTTCAACTGGCTCAATAAATAAATGAAATACATGTATTAACTATATTTATTTAAATAAATTTTTCGATGATTGGATTTTGTGGATAAAATTCGTCAATGGTTAAACTGTTAGAAAATCGCGCTTGAAATTTCTAGTAAAATACTGGAAATCTTTATGAACGATGGATTTACGTGAGATTTTCATTTCCCGATTAATTCAGTGATGGAAATTATTGCAAATTGTGGAAATTCAGGTAATTGAGAATTCAGATGCAAATCATCACTGAAGATTCAAAAAATTTCTAACAGTGTAGAATTTTAGTAATGAGGTATTTAATATTAAGTCCGGAATGTGTTCATATATACGCTGTACCCTGTATGTCACGATGTTATTTAATATATTACGATTTTTATACAAAATAAAAATTATTTTTGAAGATTATTCCAGGACTGATTCATCTACCTCGACCTTTTCTTCCATTTAATTTCGATTCCTTTAATTCCTTTGATTCCAAGATTTTTTATTTATTTATTATTTATTTGAGTTCACTTACTAGAGCTTTAAAAAATATATTATTGTTATTATTAATATTATTGTTCCCCAGAAAGGAGAAAAAAACATAAAAAATGAGAAGACATCAGTACACAGAGAGAAATATTCAATAAAAATTACGTGTGTTTTCCGTAATTTTTTCCGAAATGTGATTGTCGGAAATTTTACGGAACTGTCACGTCATTTTTATCTAAAGTTACGGAATTTTTCTGCGGTATTCCGTAATTTTTATCTGAATTATCGTGAAAAATTACGATACCGTAACTTAAATTTTTCAAATGGATTCCGTAATCGGTAAGTGAACTGAAAATTCCGTAATTTTTACCAAATATTTCTCTCCGTGTAATAATTCGTTTGCCCTCTACCGTTTCGCAGTCGAAAACTCCAGACAAATATTGGCAAAATGTTTATTAAAAAATTTCCATATTAAAATCATTGCACAAGCGATTTTCCAGTGAAGACTACGGAATTGCCTGGATTTGGCCTTGTCCAGGCAATTGTATTTTCTGACGTTCACTTGCCGAAAATGGAAAACCTCACTCGAGGCGTTTCAGCTCGAAAAGAAAAAAATTCCCAGAGGGGAAAAATGGCGCGCCGAGTACGCGTGGAGATAAAAAATAATAATATTACGGTAATATCGCAAATGACTGGTCCGCGAATCGGTGAAAATTTTGGTGGTGCTAACGATAAAAATATATATAACCGATTGGCTCCTGGTCCGAAGAAATCTCGTGAAAAATTTACGTAACACCCCCGTAAATTTTCGGCCCATTTGGCTTTCGTGTCATTAACCTTTGGATCATTATACAGCGGGTACCAGGCCCATATTTCGTTAGAAACCAAGAACACCGAGTTTCTCTTATGTAAGTAGCACGTGGTTTTCTGTACATTTTAACATTTTTCATTTCTCCAAGTACAAAAGCCTCCGCATTATTCATTCAGAGCTTTTCTCTTTTTTGTTTCCGGGGCCATTTTTTTCTTCAATATTTTTTTTCTTCAATATTTTTTTTCTCCGCCTTTTATTCTCTCACTATTTTTCGATAACGAATCCGCTGAATTGGACTTTTGATAATAATATCGCTGATTTATGTCGTAAACATGAAATTACACTAATTCTCGTGGAGACCCCTCTTGACCCGATTTATCTCGTTGGCCAAAAATATTTTTCAGAGTAATAATAATCAATTGCTGATTATTGAACTCCTCTGTGTATTGAACTTTCGAATGGAGATAAGAATCTGAGCGACTCCACAAGACTTTGCAGACGTTGCAGAAGTCGTTGTTATTTCTCCCCTGTATTTTAATTTTCAAATGTTTATAAAAAATCAATGCACCTGAATTTTCTATTGAAAATTGCACCTGCTCAATGGAACTTGCTGTTAAAATTTCAATACAATAATAAATACGAAATGTAAATTCATATAATTGAAAATTTCCGACAGAAATTCCACTGGTGGACCATTGGTGGTAATTCGCTGATTGTCACGATGGAGTTGGTAAGTTGACCATGAATCCGAGATTTTTTTCCACCAACATTAGAAATCAATGCTCCAACTCCTTTCCACTGTCCCCAATCACCCACACCACACTTTAGTGATGAAGTGAGAAAAATAGTCGATTAAGACCAGAGGAATGTTTACGATTAGTAAATTACCGATGGAATGGGGCATAAAGCCACTGGACTAACCGAAGGATAAACGATAATTTCCACACCCATGTGTGGACTCTGTTGTCAGATAAGAACTGGTATGCCAACCCATTGATGTATCCTCGTGGCGACAACTCAATTAATTACCATCGCGATTGTAATCAACTCGGGAATAATTGCACTGGTACATAAAAAAATCACAAGACAATCAGTCATTCGTCTATTTTAGTCTCTTCCATCGAGTGAAAGGCTAGGATGGAAACAAGGGGTCTTCGGTGATCAGCCTTTAGATTAATTATTCATCTCTAGTTTACGGACGGTCGTTGGTATTTTCGTGTCTCTCAACCCGACGAGAGAGGTTGCATTTCTGTCGAGCTGGGATTATTCCTTGCGCATTCTTAAACCTGTTGGTCAGACGTTTTTTATTCACTTTTTTTTTTCCCCCTTTTTTTTGAGGAAAAAAGAAAGCAACCGATGAAACTCAGAGCAGATCGGTGCAATGATGCCTCTTGGTTCATCCTGACTTCTTCAAAAATTGTTATTCTAAAAATTATCTGGTAAATCGGTTACTGAATCGGTTAAATACCAAGGACATTTTGAAAAAAATTCATGAATATTCAGCTGTTGGTATTTCCTGATGCAATTACGAGTCATGGATTATTCAGTGTCATTCTGGTGTTAACGAAATGTCGTGAAAATATTCCACTCGTCTAGGAGGGAATAAGGATGGAGAATCAATGGGATTCCTCATCGCCTTCACCTCCATATTTTTCAACACTTTTTTTCCCCCCTTTTTTTTGGTTTTGGGGAAGAATTCGTGGCACTGGACGCACGTGGAGGCCGAAATTTAGCCAAGGCCGGTGGACCACTGAGAGAGGATGCAACTCTGGGGGTTATTTTCGGAATTCTCAGATTTATCGTTTTATCCCCGACGAAACGAGAATTAATATTTGGAAAATCCATCCACGTGCGGTGCAACGATTTCTTAAATTGGCTACAACCAGAATTCGCGGGGAATCCCAAGACTCCGAGAAGAAATATTAAAATAATATTCAATTAAATAAAAATAGATTTCCCCACGATTCCACCAACATTATCAACAATAATAAAATAAACTCCAGATAAATATACCAATATCCTTATTCTACATACAATCATACCCCGATTTAAAGTACAATATGCATACTTAAATCAAGTACAAAATATACTTGACCCAAGTATTCGGCTTTTTCCGTGTATATTAGGCGCATGTGTCTGAAATCCATTTCCGGTCAAAAATCCGATATATCACGTACATCACATATAATTATAAGCATATATATATTTTCCGTGAGGTTGACACCTAGAGTGGAAGTCTCCGGTGAAAAATGGCTGATACGACAGGCGTGTGGCCGGCGGGTGAGGCCGACGGCCCGTCCTTGATGCGCTAACTGTTAATAGTTGGCGCGCGCCGTCGGCGCACGCACGGATGCAGAGCAAAACTCACGACCGGGGAGTTCCTTCAAGGAGTTCCCCTCTTTCCACCTCCTCCCAC